TTTTTTTTTTTTTAAAAAGACTAAAATATATTGCTATCCTGATAGCAGAGCATTCCAAGTTCTCCTTCAGGAGTACTACACTCCTCCTCTGTTCATTATTTTTATACAATATTAGCCATATGCCACCAATGTGAGAACCAATATCAAGTTAGGAAGACCTATTCCTAGACCTGTTTCACTTTTTGGAGTAAGTGCTAGAGTGTCATGGTTTTTAATAAATTTAATACCTCTATTTTGCAATCTTAGTTAAAACATCAATGTATCACATAAATCAAAATCAGTACCAACATTTTAATCTGCTTTTTCTTTGCATAGCAATAAATACAAAACTTGTGTGAACAACTTTTCTAGAGGTGCTTTACCTCTGCTACTTTTGGTGAGATAAGAAAATGAGAGCCTGTAGAAAGTAATGGCATGTGCACACTTGCAAGGGGAAAGGGAAAGAGGAAAAAAAGACAACCAGAGAGAGGAGATTGCAATTAGCAACAGAGAGTCCTGTGGCACCTTTAAGACTAACAGATGTATTGGAGCATAAGCTTTCGTGGGTGAATACCCACTTCGTCAGACGCCAAAGCTTATGCTCCAATACATCTGTTAGTCAAAGGTGCCACAGGACTCTCTGTTGCTTTTTACAGATCCAGACTAAGGGTACGTCTATACTTACCTACGGGTCCGGCGGTAAGCAATCGATCTTCTGGGATCGATTTATCGCGTCTTGTCTAGACACGATAAATCGATCCCGGAAGTGCTCGCCGTCGACGCCGGTACTCCTGCTCCGCGAGAGGAGTACGTGGAGTCGACGGGGGAGCCTGCCTGCCGCGTCTGAACCCACGGTAAGTTCGAACTAAGGTACTTCAACTTCAGCTACGTTATTAACGTAGCTGAAGTTGCGTATCTTAGTTTGAAGTGGGGGGGTTAGTGTGGATCAGGCCTAACACGGCTACCCCTCTAAGATTGCAATTGTTTGCCACCTGCTAAAAAGAAAAAAGAAGGACACCCCAGTCTACCTCTGTGGCAGCCAAGTGATATAAAATATATTTCTCTTTAAAAAAATTTAGTTCCACGGGGGGGGGGGGGGGGAGGGAAGAAACACACACAAGGAAGATGGTACATAATGACTAATTACATGCTATCTGCACACAAAACATTATAACCCACCAACCAGAACGTGTGATTATTTTTGCTTGACACCTGCTTGGACCATTACTGGGCAACAAAGTATTATAATCGATGTCTTGGGGTCAGCCCCGAGGTCCGAAAAGACAGATTCTATAACCTAGACTGTCAATGTACAATATGTATGTCCATAATTTCATGTTATTATGGTACCAAATTCAGCAATTTGTATATTTTTAATACTTTCGTTCTCCAATGTTGTTCTTTGTGGCATCTCCTCCTCACATCTAACTCCAGCTTCCAAGATAATTCTCTATTTTTACCTCCATGCAAGCCCTCCTCCTATATTCTCCTATTTGTTTTGGGGGAAAACGTCTCTCTAAAGATTCAGAAGCACCAACATAAACTGAAATCCAACTTATTGATATGAAAGTAAAAGCAGTGTTCAAATTAAAATGATAGCTTGGAAGTTTTCAAAGCGCTCTTTCAATTAAAATGTATGATTTATTTTCTTTGAAGATTTAGCATCACAAGTGATTAATTCTTGCCTCTGTAGACCATCCATCCCATCATTCAAACATTTATTAAATACTAATAGAAAATTACAGTTAAAGTTTAAAATAAAGTTCTACTTCAAAGCAAGTTGTGTAATTCATTACTGGATGAAACTTACAACCTTGCAGAAGGCCCCTTAAAGTGCTGCATAATTGGAGCATGGACCCGCCCCCATTTGTGCAGGCACTATGCACAAAAGTGCATTTCACTCTAGTAGGCATTTAAGGGCCTAACCCTGAGTAGCACTGAGCACCTTCAGAATTGTGCCCTTAATTCTCCAAGAAAAATCTGTATGCAATTCACCAGTGTGGTAAAACATGCCAACTAGGTAACAGTTTAAATTACAAAACTTCAGAGGCATCATCTCAACCTAGTCGATTTCAAAAAAAAAAAAAAAAAGGAGGTAAAGTAGTAGATACTAGAGGTACCCGGAGCTATAGCCTACCAATTTTTGTGATTTACACTTTCCTATTTTAAAAAATGCTTTTCCCTCTTGTTGTTGTAGTAGGAAAGACTCTCATACAAATAGAGAAAACTGACTAGCTAGACTACACAATAGAGATAATGACAGAACATTGACAATGTGGCCTAGTGGACAGGGCAGCAGACTGGGACTCAGGAGACTTGGGTTCCATCTCTGGTTCTGACCCAGCTTTCTGGGTGACCTCGGGCAAATCACTTCCCTTTCCGAGTTTCCCCATCTGTAAAGTGGGGATAATTATACTGAGTTCCTTTGTAAAGTGCTTTCAGATCTATGGATGAAAACTACTGTATAAGAGCTAGGTATTATTATATTGTAATTAAATTAACGGAAAGATTTTTCTTCTCTAATCTTTTCCAGTTGTAGTAATCTTACCTGTTTTTTGTGCCAACAGCAGGCAAAACTTTAAGCTGAACTCACCCCTTCAAGACTTTTTAAGTATTCTTTTAGTATAAGTTGAAGACCCTTGGTCAATTTAATCTTTGGTTCAGGGTTTTGTGGGAAACTTTTTAAAACTAAAGAAACACTTCACTGTCAACCAGTAATTCACAAAACCACTATTGCCCATCACTGAACACATGATCCTTACAAATAGGATTAGTTTTCCTTTGAGCAACTTTCACAAGTTCTTGAAAACAAAAAACAGCTCACATACAGATATTCCAATTTAACACCTATAAACCTTCATGGATTTGTACATGTGAAGCCAAAAACTGAAAAGAAAGTAATCCAAGAGGAATTCTAACACATATCCAGTACTGCAATACGTGACTTACTTACACATGTGCCTATAGCCTAAAATATTATTTCAGATATTTCTTAAGTGAGTTGAAACACACGATGTCAAGACTAGTTAGCTGCTATATTATCTGACAAAATATTTAAAAGGACATTCATTATACCAAATACGCTCTCAGTCTACCTGCCTCCTCTGTTCAGGTACAGTATAACACTGCCCTCTTGTAGGCTCTCTATTGTCATAAAGAGACAGCTTTGATTTTTTTATTTATTTTTAAACTTAATGCGCTTTTTTACTTCAAAGAAAAGCGAAACAAGATCATCTAAGGACATTCAATGCATTATTTGATGCTAAATTTTTCTACATTCTGTAGGTCTGAGAATGTACTACTGTATGTTCTGAGTCACACAATGTAACAACTACAATTTAGTTAAATCATCTCCTTTTAGGCTACATACCAAGAACCTGTCCATTTTCAGTCCTTGTACTAAAAATAGTTTTAAGAAAATAAATAGAAACTACAAGCCTGGTTTAAATTCAGAGTCGAGAACATACCTTCAAATCCAAGCACAATGGGAAACATTCTTAACATCAACCACTAAATTGTGTTAAGATTTATTCTGGTTTGAATCATAGCTCACACAAGTGGTTCCAAGTGTTTTCAAATTAGTCTATTTTGTTTGTGCACAAATAAAATATACATTTATCCATTTTACACTCAGAACATCTACTATAATAGTTCAAATAGCTTGGTTTTCAAACATGGATTTCTGGTAAGCAATTGGTTCCCAGTATTGCATAATTATTTTTTGTACATTAAAAAACCTGAAAAATTATATTTTGACAATTGACTAGTAAAAGATGTCCCATTTGTCAGAAGAAATGTTTATTGCATATTGCATAAGTGCATTAAAAATATTGATATGGGAAAAAAAACAAACTATTGAATAGAACAGCTGCAGCTTCTGTATGCATGTTCATTTTTGATATACGATACAGTACTTTTTCCCTACATTGTGCCTTTGTATTGGAGATCTTGTCATTAATTAGTTATAATCTTCAATAAATAGGTATTGCAAAAAAGGATATTCAATTGAAAAATAAATCACTAAATTTTGATAGTGTTCATGATAAACTGCAGACATGCTGATGCTGCTGTGGGAAAAAATGTAAAATTGTAATTTAATTTTAATCTTGAAACAATGCATTAAATGTGGGTGATTGTCCAATTATTTAATGGAACAATAAGAAAGTACATATACAATTATTTTGTCTAGTTAACAGTCACAATTATGAAGTATCTATAACTTTGGGATAACTTGGTCTCTGATCCTAAGTTTTTCTGAAGACACAACTATGACTAAATTAAATTAATGGAGATATCCCATCTCCTAGAACTGGAAGGGACCTTGAAAGGTCAGCGAGTCCAGCCCCCTGCCTTCACTAGCAGGACCAAGTACTGATTTTGCCCCAGATCCCTAAGTGGCCCCCTCAAGGATTGAACTCACAACCCTGGGTTTAGCAGGCCGCTCCCTCCCCCCTCCTCAAGCAAACTAAGAGCTTGTCTACACTACAGCTGCTGGTCGATTTACGCTACGCAATTTTGAGTTAAGTTAGTAGCGTAACAACTAGACGTAGCTTAGATCTACTTACCATAGGGTAGACACTACGCTATGTCGACGGGAGACACTCTCCCACCGACACTGCTTCCGCCTCTCGTTGAGGTGCAGTACAGAAATGGATGGGAGAGTGTTCTCCCATCAATTGAGCATGTCTTCACTAGACCCACTAAATCCATGCCACTGCATCAACTGCAGCAGCGCCGATTTAGCTCCGTAGTGAAGACCAGTCCTAAGTTCGGGAGACTCACTAAAATAAAGTAATATACATATAAATATAGATACTGTTTATGTGATATGAATAAACCTCAGTCTTTTTTTCAATTGGCTGCATCAGATACTGGGTAAAGTTCTCTTAACTAGGGATGCTAGAGGTAACCTTATTGATTCTAAATACAAAGAAAAAAGGACAAGGAACCCACTCAATTTAACCCAGGCAAGGAGTCTAATCACTCAATAGTAAATAGAACAGACTACATGTACTCATTACCTGTCTCCGTTCCCGGCGAGACAAAACGTTGCCATGAAGTACTCGCCAGAGCATTCTTGCAGCAATTTTTGTGTCAATCCATAACAATCGAAAGCCATGATAATAGTGCTTCACCTCATCCACAATCTTCTGTCTAAGAGATGTTTTAACCACCTCTACTGTTGGACTATATACCGGGCCTCCTTCTTCCATCTTCTTGGTTTTATCTTTTAAAGACTTCAGTGACTTTTCCACCATGGAGTCATCATTACGGGGATGTGAAGAATGCCACCATCGTACTGGAAGGTACTGGGGCCCCAAAATGCCCAAACTTGCAAACGGAGTCCATGAGCCAGGAGAGCTCACAACTTTAAAGTACATTTGTTCAGGTCCTTTAGTCCAACAACTGTACTGATCTTTCTTGGAGTACATGTAAACAGGGTGGATACTAGTGCAATATTTGAAGTGTACATTCCTTTAAGAAAGAAAGAAAGAAAGAAAAAAAGACATTTAAGAGATCCAACAATATGTGCTAAAGGAGAAAGTTCTGCTATATGTTTAAAATCACAATTATGAAGATCAAAAGGTGTATGTCACTATCACTTGAAAATAATGATTATATATACACACACGTCATAACTTACTTACAGGGTCTTTTCCTGTAAACTACTTTCAAGGGAGGAAAAAAAAACTGTTGTTTCAAAATTTCAAAAGTGAGAAAAACAGTGACCAGAAGTGCATTCAATTTAGAAAGCTAAGTGCAGAAGTAAAACTAGAAATCAGTGAGAAGTAACTTATCTAAAGCATTTTAGATCTCCTATAGTATGTGGATGGCACACAGAGACAAAGTACAAGCTGCTAGGGTTAAGGGGGAGAAAGGACATTAGTATCAGATAAACCTACTTAAAAGAGTTTGCCCCTTTATCATCTCTTTACCTCTAACCTTCTTTCTTCAGCAGATATTTGGTCTGCTGAAACTGCAAGCTCAATCTTATCAATGGTCTGTATTGGACAATAGACTCCTATTTCATTAACCACTTTTGATCCCTTTCTGAAAGAGGAATTAAATGCATTCTGAAAATGAACATAAAGGCATTGTTCCAAAAGTGCTCATTACATGTACAAAATTAGAACCACTCCCTAAATGCAATCTGGTTTGTACTTTAGCACTTTTCTTACCATCTGGAACACTGAAGTAGTAAATGTAACATTTAACTTAAGTGCAGTTAATTCTGTATTAACTGAAAGTCAAGTATGAAGTCACCCCTGCTAAATTATAGGACTGAAATAGCTTTGATTTTTCCCAGCTTAAATTTTCAGGGCTGGCAGTTAGAACTTTTCTTTCTACTTATAAAGCAAGCAATTTGATATTAATCAAGGAGACATGAACTGGGATCCCTGCTACAGTTTTTTTTGTTTAAGTGTAGAACTGTACTTTAACTTATTTATGAACTATATTTGATGATAGAATACCTGAAAGGCAGTTGATAACCATCGTAGCTCAAGATAGCAGGTCATGACAAATCTATGCTGCGATCGTGCCCAGGGTATGGTACTCCCAAAGACAACTTCTTCAAGCCTACCTTGCCCATTATTAACATATGAAAATGTTTTCAAAATTGCTTAGTATAACCACTGTCCTACACTATGATTTAATTAATATTTTATTATGGAAGTGTCATTTGCAGTTTTCTAGAGTTAAGGCTGAGTTGAGTTTTGCACTTAAAGCAGGGATTCAGCCACTTCATTACTCTTGAAGAATAAGCATATCCTCCCAAACACCACTTACTCTGAATACAGAATGAGTTTTCTGAAAATTTACAATTAAATCTATTAGTTCATCAGTTAAAATTAGTTTTTAAAATGGGTCCTTTAAGACTTGTCAAACCATACTTTTGTCCTTAATGATCTCAGTAACAAAATAACAAACCCTTCAAATTTCCCATATAATTAAAACTGAAATCTAATGCACAGGCTACATTTGAAGATTTGTTTGTAAGTGGGAGGTGGGAAGAAGAGGTTAATGGTAACCTTTTGGTGCTATTCTTTGTAACTGAATGTTTTCTCTTCAGAACAGCTTTTCTACAGAGAAGATAAGAGACACGTACTTAATCACAAGATGTCAAAGGCTATTTAAGATACAAAAAATAAAACTATGGAAAGTTAAAAATTACACAGGATTAATTTATTTAACAAAAATAACTACCTAGCATCACTTGCAAGGTAGCATTTTTATGGAATTAGTTAAATGGGAACCCCAGGACCCTGTACAGAAGAGGTAAATTTGGATCTAATGAGGAATAGAAATTAAATAGTGACAAAGTGAGATGTTCTACACTCCTGGGAGAATTCTGTGCCACTGCACAATGCAGAATTTGCGCAGAATTAATGTTCTGTGCAAAATTTCATTTTTCCCTGCAGAATTGGTGCTGCGGAGATGCTGGCCACCACTAGGGGCCGCTGGATCCAGCAGAGCCTGACTCTCCAGCTCGCAAATACAGGACACTGCCGGCGGTGGGGCGGGGGGTAGGAAAGAGAGCTGGAGGGGGTCCAAGCAGCTGCGGTTCCCAGCACATCCTGAAGGAAGGAGGTGGCGTGCAAGAAACTCCATACAAACCTGGGACCCAGCATCACAGGATGTTTGTCTCTCTAGATCCCTGGGCTCTGGGGAGTAGGGAGTTTCGGTATCTGGGCTGGGGGGTACCCCCCAGCTGGGCTACCAGGTAGGGGATGCAGGTGCCCGGGCTCTAGGGGGGTGCCCCATGGCTAAGCTCTAGGGGGGGATGCAGCTGCCTGGGCTGGGGGGCGCCCCACAGCTGGGCTCTGGAAGGGGGGTGCAGGTGTCTGGGCTGGGGGGGTCCCCGTGATTGGGCTCGGGGGGGGGGGGGGGGGGGGGGGGGGGGGGGGGGGGTCTCCCACAGCTGGGCTCTGGTGGGGTGGGGGTGAGGGTGTCTGAGACCGGAGGGGCAGAGTCTTCCCCCAAAGTGTGCCCAGCTGGCATGTGTGACACACCCAGACTGAGGCACCCAACGAAAGCATAACAGAGAAACAGGACCTGGGTTGTCAGAAGGGTTTCTTTAACGCTCTACTCCTACGGGAATTTTGTGTGTGTGTGTCTGTATTGTTACAGACATACTTGCTGACAGGTATTTTGAAATATATTACCAAAATAATTTAAAATTCTGCATACGAGTTCCAAATATTATGCGCAGAATTTTTAATTTTTTGGTGCAGAATTTCCCCAGGAGTACTTCTAACACAGATTATACATTCGTTGATACAGGAAAAGAGTAAAACTAAGTGGCCTATTTTCAATGTGGAAGCTGGCTTATAGTACAGATCCTTTGGCAACTCACTATGTCTGATGTTAATGAATTTATTTATAGTCTAGTATAGGAAGAGAAACGCCAAGCAAGTAAAATATGCTGATGACTAAATTTAATCAAGTTGAGAAAGAACCTAATAAAACTGGGCAACATGATGGTAGATGAAATTTAATGTAGAAAAGTGCAAGATAACACACATTTAAAGGAACATTTGAACTATTAATTCACATTTGACAGATTCTAAATTAAGCATTCAGACATCAGTGTTATTATGGACAGCTCAATGGAGATATCTGATCAGTGCCCAGGAGTAGTCCAAAAAAAAAAAAAAAAAACCAATTTAAACACCATTATCTAATTAGATTGTAACCCTCACCTTAAATACTATATTCAATTTTGGGTACCACATCTCAAAAAAAGTATAGCAGAAATAAAAGTGGTCCAGAAAAGGACAAAGAAAACAGAGGCATGGAAAAGACTCCGATACAATAGGAAATTAAATGTTAGGACTACATTTGTAGAACACTTGGAAGTTAGGAGGTGCATGCTTTTCCCTCAAGCCCTACATCCAAAAAGCCAAACATATAATACCCGACTCTCCTCTCATTGTGGAAACCCTCTTTAGTTGGGAGAAGAAAAGATCAGAGTGGCACTGCAGAGACAATACACTCAAAAAAACCCAAGATCTACTGTTTGTAAATAACTCCTTTTTCTCTTTCAGGACATGGTTGCACAGCCCCACTGCTAGCAAGTTTCTTATAATGACCTCCCACTGACCAGCAGGAACTATGAACCCCACAGATTCAGTGATGGTACAAGTTAATCCAGAACTCTAGCTTCCATAATATATAGGATGCATCCATATAGTGCCAGAGATGGGGCGCAACTACACTGCAGAAAATTTCACCTGACCGTATTCAACTGATCATGGGGATGGTCAGAGTTCACACCAGTGACTCTTCTAAGACCCCCCAACATATTCTCCACCAAACCCTTCAAAGGGTGAGATTTGTGGAAATTTTGATTGACCAATCAAACCAGCACCCTAATGTTAGTGTCCTGTCTAGGTTTGTTGATGTAATCCTTGTCAGAGTACCACTTTTACTGTGTGATCAACCACTGGCACCATCCAAAAAACTGATATTGTGAATTGGTGGAATGCAGTTCAATACTTCCTTAAGGGCCACCATTTACAAGATAACACCTTTCAGTCTGGTATTTAGCATCTGATTTCAGCAGGAAGACTTTGTGCCAACACTACTCATGATTAAGGTTAAGATTTAGTCAAGAGTATTTTTAGTAGAAGTGATGGACAGGTCACAGACACTAAACAAAAATTCACAGCCAGTGACCTGTCCATGACTTTTACTATAAATACCCCTGACTAAACCTTAGCTGATCCTATGGTGCTGCTCTGGGGGGCTGCCGGGGCTGACAGCTGGCCCCTGCTCCGGTGGCAGTGGCTGACTGCTTCTGGGGCCGCTGGTGCTCCAATGGTCCCCAAGGCTAGCTGCCTGGGAATTAGCCTGTACATACACCAATCTGTCACACCCTGATTCTTCAGTTCCTCTCTATCCATCTGCCCAAGCTGTCATAAAGCCAGGGTCTTCCTGTCTCTATCGTTTATGTAACTAATTGTAACCAGTTCATAAGTAATTTTATTAGGTGTATTATATTCAAGTGGAAGAGAGAGCGAGAGAGTGTGTGAGTGAAAATATAAAATGTGTGACCTTCCACTTATAGCCACATTACTGAAGAATATGACCTACGTTTTGAGCATGTAACTATAGCTTCCTAAAGTTGTCAAGGACAGACCCAGGGCAGCTTATTTTAATGCTTGATACCTTCCAGAACACAAGACATATCCACTGTGACTGTGTTCCAATTAAGGGGTCTACCCCAAGACAATGGCTTTACTACAGATAGGAGTGGGCTGGAGTGAACTGGATTTTCCCAGTTTGGATCCAGAGGGCTGGAATTTCCAAGCCAACCACCTGACTGGAGTTCTGCAGCTGATCGGTTGGTTACTTGACAGAAGGGGCAGAAATCTTATTTAAGGGCAAGAACTGCTCTAGCCTCCTTCACTCTCACTGGCTGACCATTGCCAGACAACAAAAGGACTACAGGAGAGGGCCCACCCATCCAACATTTTCAGAGGTTTAGGACTCTTAGGCTTAGGAAGGGGTGAGCACAGACTTAGGGGACACAGGCTTCGTTGTTTTTCCTAACGATATGTAACTCTTATATGCATTAAGAGTAAAAGTTATTGTGGCTAAGAAACTCCTGTGCAAAGCCTGTGTTCCTTGCCTTACATATCACATGGTCCCTGAGGGTTTAAACTATAAATCAGCGAGGTGGAACTCTGGGGAGCCTCTCTAAGTGACTGGGGAGATTTGGGAGGACAGCATTGGTTTTTGGGCCTAAGGCAGTTGGCTCATGGAGTCCCACATCCTACAGAAGGGTCTTCACCAAGGAGCGTACCTTAGAAGCCCCGAGTTATGAACAGGGACTGAATTCTGCCCAGACTCAGCAGGCTTGGGAAGTGCCCAGGACCCAAAGGTTGAGTGCAATAAAGACCATCCACTTGAAGGATTCAGCCAGGACCATAACACAGGGTACATATAGCCTTGGCCTATTGAATGTGGGGCTAAAGTGAACTGTGCTTGCCCCCTAACTATCAATAGGGGCCTACCAAATTCACAGTCCAGTTTGGTCAATTTCGTGGTCACAGAATTTTAAAAATCATAAATTTCATGGTTTCAGCTATTTAAATCTGAAATTTCAGTGTTGTAGGTGTAGGGGTTCTGACCCAAAAAGGAGTTGTGGGGATGGGGGTCACAAGGTTATTGTAGCGGGGGTTGCAGTACTGCTACCCTTACTTCTGTGCTGCTGTTAGTGGTGGTGCTGCCTTCAGAGCTGGGCAGCTAGAGAGTGGCAGCTGCTGGCCAGGAGCCCAGCTCTGAAGGCAGAGCCGTCACCAGAAGCAGCGCAGAAGTAAGGATGGCATGGTATGGTATTGCCACCCTTACTTCTGTGCTGCTGCCTGCAGAGCTTGGCCGTCAGTCAGCACCTGCCACTGTCTGGCCACCCAGCTCTGAAGGCAGCGCAGAAGGAAGGGTGGCAATATCGCAACCCCCCTAAAATAACCTTGTGACCCCCCTGCAACTCCCTTTTGGGAAAGGACCACCAATTTGAGAAATGCTGGTCTCCCCCATTAAATCTGTATAGTATAGGGTAAAAGCACAAAAAGACCAGATTTCATGGCCCGTGACACGTTTTTCAGGGCTATGAATTTGGTAGGGCCCTATCAACTACTGCTCAAAACCGATTGAGACCAACATTTACATATATGTATGCGATCGTGGAGTTTGGACCAGCAGTGTTATGAAGGAGAGTTTCCACTTCCAGTGGTGTCACTTGCATTGATCATCAGAACTGAATTCACTTTTTACTGCTTTCACAAAAACAGTGTTTGTTTACTGCATTGGCATAAGACAAGGAGGATAGATTGGGAGAAAAGAGAAAAAAAAAAACATGTCACATATTCCTACTCCCAAAAGGGACATAACAGGCATATGACTAAGGTACTATTCTTGGGCGTCACTTTGTGGCTCTATAATATGGGTTGTGGCTAGTAATTGTGTGTCTTGTCCAGAAGACTGATAACTATGTTCCATTATGATGTACTAAAGCTTTTAGGATAGCTTGGCAGAGTTTTAAAAGACTAGAAAAATAATTGTGTCATGTTTACGTTTACTTACGTATGGTTAATCAACCTCAGAGACACACAACTGAGACAAGTACGGTCTCCCAAGTTACCTGAAAAAAAAAATACAAATAATTCGCAAACAGATTGAAATTTATGAAGACAATTCACCCATAACATTAATAATAAACTAAATTATTTTAAAAGGCCAATTGTTACTTTAGAAATTAACCTTGTCAGGTACAGCACTTTAGGCCAAAAAATGTAGGTTGTTTAAAGGTTTTACAAAACTATTAATTTTTCTTCTTTTTAACTTTAAGAAGTTTGTCTAGATCTGAAGAGTCCCTTCTGATGTGCAACTTTAGCCTTGTAGCAATGTGGAACACATGAGCTCTAGGCCAATAGAAAGGAAAAAAGAAGGTTCATGCTCTTTGTTGCCAGGGCATTAAAAAAAATCAGCCATATAAGTATAATCGGGATATTTGCAAAGAGAACATCTGCAGCTTAAAGTACTTGGCACTGCCTCTTTAGGAAACCTTAACCAGGATTACCTGTTTAGGAAGCAAGAAAAGCATCCATTTGGATAAGAGCTGTAGACAAACAAATTTCCCCTACTGTAAAACCAGTAACAAGAATGATAGAATTACTTTTAAAATTTACACATCCTAAAAAAGGCTTCAGATACAGAAAAACTTACATACTATGTCAGGGGTCGGCAACCTTTCAGAAGTGGTGTGCCAAGTCTTCATTTATTCACTCTGATTTAAGGTTTTGCGTGCCAGTAATACATTTTAATATTTTAGAAGGTCTCTTTCTATGAGTCTATAATATATAACTAACCTATTGTTGTATGTAAAGTAAATAAGGTTTTTAAAATGTTTAGGAAGCTTCATTTAAAATTAAATTAAAATGCAGAGCCCCCTGGACCGGTGGCCAGGACCCGGGCAGTGAGAGTGCCACTGAAAATCAGCTCGCGTGCCGCCTTTGGCATGCGTGCCATAGGTTGCTTACCCCTGTACTATGTCTTTGTTTTTAAAATTCAGGTGAAAAATGTAACTCCAAAAGTGTAAGCCAGTGGTGCTTAAAGGCTTGATCTTTACTGGAAGAATACTTAAGATTCTAAGAAGTACTTAAACTACTTATTTGCTGAACGAACAAAATGAACTAAGATTAAATTAGATCGAAGATAAAACAAAAAACTGTTATAAATGGATTTCTGTCATGAAACAATGGGTTAATAACACAAGTTTGTTCCAGCTGAAAGAGCACATGAAACAATAAGACGACAAATCAGCAGGGAGGAAGAATTTAGTCAGAAAACTGTGACTGATAATTGAGAATCATTTAATAACAGCTTACTAGATACCCAAGAAGCCATAACCCCACAATCAAGGAAGAAGGGTGTGCTGGTTTAAAGGGGAAGTGAAGGCAGCTGTAAAAAATTAATATAGAACCAAATAAAAGAAAGGGAGGCTAAAATAGGGAAAGTAGTAGTTAAAAATTACTTAGACAAGTTAGGTGTCTTCAAGTCACCAGGGTCTGATGAAATACATCCTAGAATACTCAAGAAGCTGACTGAGAAGATAACTGAGCCATTAACGAAGTCGTGGAAGACAGGAGAGATTCCAGAGGACTGCAAAAAGGCAAATATAGTGCCAATATATAAAATAGGGAAATAAGGGCAAACCGGGGAATTACAAAGCAGTCAGCTTAACATCAGTACCCGGAGACATAATGGAACAAATAATTAAGCAGTCAATTTGCAAACACCTAGAAGATAAGGTGATAAGTAACAGCATGGATTTGTCAAGATCAAATCATGTCAAACCAACCTAATAGCTTTCTTTGACAGGGTAACAAGCCTTGTGGATGGGGGGGTGAAGAAGAAGTAGATGCGGTATATCTTGACTTTAATAAGGCTTAGGCAATGTCTATACTTGCCATTTAAAGCAGGAAAAGTCCTTTTTTTGTGTAAAAACCATCTATACTTGCCAATTACTTTTTGTGGGGCATCCTGGGTCCCTGCACAGCCTCCTCTCCCCAAACACTGATCAACTCCAGTAGCTCAGTATTAGAGGGCTTTCCCTCTACCTTCCCACTTCCCTGGTTCTTGTCACGCAGACAACAATTTACCAAGGCTCATAGTAGATTCTCCATCACTAACAATTTTAAATCAAGACTGGATGTTTCTCTAAAAGATCTGCTCTAGGATTTATTTTGACTGTGTTATATACAAGGTCAGACTAGATGATCACAATGGCCCCTTCTTGACCTTAATCTATGAGCGTACATGGCACCTACAGAATACCTGCAGAGTTTTTGCTTTAATAACACATTTTGGCATAATTAATTTTTACATCAAAACTCATCCAACATGAAATATTCTAATCAGTTACAATTGTGAGAAAATATCGCTATGCCATAAAAGCTAGCAGTATGCCCATTTACTCTTCTGTAACTTAGTTTACAGATTAAACATATTCCCTATATTCTAAATCTTCAGAATGCTGTAGGCAGAAGGACTGGATGACACAAAGAATGGTAATAAAATTCAACCTTTTGTCCATGTCACAAGTTGAAATTCAGCCCAAATCTCTCAGTTTTTATATCGCATCCTTTACTTCAATATCTGAACAAAGACCAGTAACTATAAGAGATCAGTATATCAGATGGCTGTTGTTGGCCAGTATGCCACATTATAGAAAGCGTCTATTACAAGAGGCAGCTTTACTGGCAACTTCAGCAACGGTCATGAATTGAACTGGCAAAGCCATTTTACCTTCATTCAAAGTGACTGATTCCTCCAGCTCAAGGTTGAAGGTAATTGGTAAAGCATTGCAAGAAAGCTTGCACTGCTATTATATGTCCTGTGGCTAGAATACTGAAGCTCCCACAGCTATCGAGCTAGCCCCTTTCACAAATACTAAAAGAGATTTGAACAGTTAAAAGCAACTAACCCAAGGGTGGGCAAACTACGGGCCGCGTCTGACCCGTCAAGCCTTTTAGTCTGGCCCTCGAGCTCCCACTGGGAAGCGGGGTCAGTGGCTTGCCCCGCTCCGGCACTCCAGCCGGGAAGTGGGGTCAGGAGCTTGCCATACTGCTCCTGGAAGCAGCGGCATGTCCCGTCTCAGCTCCTACATTTAGGGGCAGCCAGGGGGCTCCGCTCTTCACGCTACCCCTGCCCCAAGTGCCATGGCCAAGGGGAGCTGCAGGAGTGGCGCCTGTGGCTTGGGCAGTGCGCAGAGCTGCATGGCCAGTGCCACGCCTCCGCATAGGAGGCGTAGGGTGGCATGCCATTACTTCTGGGAGCTGTGGGGGTGGCGCCTGGGGATGGCGCAGCACACAGAGCCATCTGGCCGCGCCTCCGTGTAGGAAGGACATGCCGCTGCTTCCAGCAGCGGCTTGAGGTAAACGCCGCCTGGAGCCTGCACCCCTGAGCCCCCCACAACTCCCTGCCTCAGCCCGGAGCCCCCTCCCGCTCTCTGAACCCCTCAGTCGCAGCCTGGAGCACCCTCCTGCACCCCAAAGTGCTCAGCCCTACCCCAGAGCCCTCACCACCACCCCAACCTAGAACCCCCTCCCACTCCCTTAACTTCTCATTTCTGGCCCCAGCCCAGAGCCCACACGCCCAGCCAGAGCCCTCACCCCCTCCCACACCCAACCCCCAATTTTGTGAGCATTTATGGCCCGCCATACAATTTTTATACCCAGATGTAGCCCTCAGGCCAAAAAGTTTGCCCACCCGTGAACTAACTTGCCATAAGTTATTGACTATTAAAAAAAAAAAATTGGATTCCTCATAACCATTGTTATTAATGGTTCCCAATCCTGCTGGAAAGGCATAACGAGTGGGGTTCCGCAGGGGTCTGTTTTGGAACCGGCTCTGTTCAATATCTTCATTAACGACTTAGATATTGGTATAGAAAGTACGATTATTAAGTTTGCGGATGATACCAAACTGGGAGGGATTGCAACTGCTCTGGAGGACAGGGTCATAATTCAAAATGATCTGGACAAATTGGAGAAATGGTCTGAGTTAAACAGGATGAAGTTTAACAAAGACAAATGCAAAGTGCTCCACTTAGGAAGAAAAAATCAGTTTCACACATACAGAATGGGAAGAGATTGTCTAGGAAGGAGTACGGCAGAAAGGGATCTAGGGGTTATAGTGGACCACAAGCTAAATATGAGTCAACAGTGTGATGCTGTTGCAAAAAAAGCAAACGTGATTCTGGGATGTATTAACAGGTGTGTTGTGAGCAAGACACGAGAAGTCATTCTTCCGCTCTACTCTGCTCTGGTTAGGCCTCAGCTGGAGTACTGTGTCCAGTTCTGGGCACCGCATTTCAAGAAAGATGTGGAGAAATTGGAGAGGGTCCAGAGAAGAGCAACAAGAATGATTAAAGGTCTTGAGAACATGACCTATGAAGCAAGGCTGAAAGAATTGGGTTTGTTTAGTTTGGAAAAGAGAAGACTGAGAGGGGACATGATAGCAGTTTTCAGGTATCTAAAAGGGTGTCATAAGGAGGAGGGAGAAAACTTGTTCACCTTAGCCTCTGAGGATAGAACAAGAAGCAATGGGCTTAAACTGCAGCAAGGGAGGTCTAGGTTGGACATTAGGAAAAAGTTCTTAACTGTCAGGGTGGTTAAACACTGGAATAAATTGCCTAGGGAGGTTGTGGAATCTCCATCTCTGGAGATATTTAAGAGTAGGTTAGATAAATGTCTATCAGGGATGGTCTAGACAGTATTTGGTCCTGCCATGCGGGCAGGGGACTGGACTCGATGACCTCTCGAGGTCCCTTCCAGTCCTAGAATCTATGAATCTATGAATCTATGAATTTGGGAAACCGCAGTCAGTTGCCAAATTCTTAAAACAAAATAAACACGTCAGATTTAATTGTACTCAATTTTAAGATTGACTTCTTGCAAGTGGCAAATCAATTAGGTTTTTATTTACTTTCGGGATGTGTAGCTTAGACAAAGAACCCACGTATTTGAAGAAAGAACACCTTGAAAACCAAAGCCAATGATGTCTTAACTCAAAGACCAAATAAAGCTGATGACAAGGTAGAGCAGGAACTAAGTAGTTTACACAAAGGAAAAACTTCTGGGAGGTTCCAGCCACAGGAGCTAGCGATAAAGCAAAGCACCGGTGACTTGTCAGCCCAGGAGCACCGCCAACAAATCACTTCTACATCATAGCTCCAGGCTTCAGCTAAGAGAAATACAGGAGCTACGGGCCCAGGAGAGGTGTGGAAGGAGGACGCCTCTCCGGGGCAGGATGAGATCACCACGCGCCGGCACCCAACGCGCCTCACCCACGTGAGTTCAAGGTTGCTCTGATGACACCCGGTGATCTTTGGAAGCCGGGAAGGGAGGCAGCCTCGCACCGCGCCCGCCGGGCCCCAACCTCCACCGCCCGCCTCCCAGTCACTGTCCCCTGAACGGTCAAGCCCATAGCCGGCTCCCCCAGCCCCAGGGCCCCGCCAGGCCCAGCGCCCCCCTCACTCCGTCCGCCTGCGCTAGAGGTGCGGGCGCACTAGGGAGGCCGCCAGGGCCTAGGCCGGCGGCTCGGGTCCCACAGAGCCGGAGCCCAGCGCTGCTGCGCCTGCCCAGCCCAGCCCGGCCCGAGCCTTACCCCACTTGGGCTCCCGGCGCAGCGGCCTGGGGAGGCAGCAGACCCGCTGGCTGCAGCTCCTCAGCAACATGGACGCCATCTTCTCTCTCTCTCGCCGCTGGCTGAGGTGACGCTAAGGGTAACGGCAGGTTCCCGGCCTGGTCATGTCCCTGAATCCTGCTGCGCCTCAACACGGAAACAGAACCGCCGCCTGCCTTATTGGAACAACCGGGAGGTGGGCGGGCGCCGGCGATATTTGCATAGACCCGCCCCCTGCTGCTCCCATTGGACTAGGGATCCCAGTGTCGCATTGCAAGCCGGGAACGCAAGGGTAGCTCGGAAATGAATGAAGAGCGCTGCAGGCTGGGAGCTGTAGTTTTAGTTGTGCGTCTGTGTTGGGGCGGGGGAAAGAAGCAAGGATGCAGGTTGGGAGGAGATTCAGGCAGGTGATAGCGTAACAGTAACCTTAGAGTCAGTGGATACGGATGCCTGCCATGGGAATGGGCTGCTACCCTTTTGTAATTTAATCCATCTCCAGTGACCCCATATGATTAGTGTTGTTGTGTGGTGTTAGAAAGAAATGTATTCTTTGGCAAAAATGGGGTAAATAAAGCCACTTTAGATCCCTCAATCTGGAAAGAAACCTGGCAGAGAATTTGAGGTGGCAGTTGTAATATTTCAAATTTTTTCCTGCTATTGAGGAAAAATTGGAGAGTATAAAATCTGCACTGTTGCATGTGGCAGGTCAATGTAGTAGTGCTCAGTAACCATAGAACCTTATGGACATGTGAATTTTGACCCTGTAACCACACTCCCATTCTGTTACTATTATTGTCATCCCTTCCCCCCACACCCTCGTTTAACTGATCCTGTGTGGTGGTTGTGGGGGTTTTGTTTGTTTGTTGTGGCCCCTCTCTTTGGTTGAGGGGATTGTCATTTTTCTGTGTGCTGAGTCGAGCCCCTTTTAGGGGCTTGTGACAGGTTTGGTCACAGAGATCTCCCTGGGACTGTCACCTGATGTGCTGAAATTACTTCTGAGCCGGTTTTCCCTGCCAGCTTGGGACTCCAGAACCCTGCCTTGTTGAGCCAGACACGCTAGCCTGCTGCAACACAGACTCAGGTCTGAACCATGCCCCCAAAGCTGCAGACTTTAACTAAAAACAGCTCTGCAAATTACCTGTCTCCAGCACCCAGACACCCAGCTCCCAATAAGATCCAAACCCCAAATAAATCTGTTTTACTCTCTATAAAGCTTATACAGGGTAAATTCATAAATTGTTCGTTCTCTATTCAGTGGTTCTCAAACTAGGACCACCGCTTGTTCAGGGAAAGCCCCTGGTGGGCCCGGCCAGTTTGTTTACCTGCCGCGTCCGCAGGTTCGGCCGATCGTGGCTCCCACTGGCTGCGGTTCGCCGCTCCAGGCGAATGGGGGCTGCAGGAAGCGGCGCGGGCCGAGGGATGTGCTGGCTCCTGGCTGATACTAACTTTTTTGCTGATACAGACTAACATGGCTACCATGCTGAAACCTTTCACAGACTAGACTCCTTCCTAGTCTGGGCCCAATCCTTTCCCCTGGTACAGTCTTTGTTAGAGCCAGCAGACATCTCAGGTGGTAAGCAGGGGTTTTCTCATGACTGGCAGCCTCTTTTGTCCTGCTCCACCCCCTTTTATAGCTTTGGCACAAGGTGGGAAACTTTTGTCTGTGGTTCTCCCTACTCCTGCCTCATCAATGGAAAAGTACAAGGATTAAGATGGATTCCAGTATCATGTGACATGGTCACATGTCACTGTAAGACCCATAGTCTCCATTCTTCCTGGGTTGGCCCACAGGTACACAGGAAGATTTGCAAGTAAATAAACTATTTACAACCAATTGTCCTGGTCACTGGGAGCCATCAAGATGCTAAACCACCATTAATGGTCCACATTTTGCATAATTACAATAGGACCTCAGAGTTATACTTCATATTTCTAGCTTCAGATACAAGAATGATACATGCATAAAAATAGGAGGAATATATTCAGTAGTTTATAACCTTTGTTATGATACCTTACAAGAGACCTTTTGCATATTCCAGTTACATCATATTCACACTCATAAGCATATTTCCATAAAACATATGGAGTGCAACGTCACAGGGCTCTAATCACCCTTATGAGGATCAGATAGTTTAGACACAATTGAGAAGGAGATGATTTTTACTTTTGTATATGAAAACCTGTTTTTAAAAAAAGCAGCAGAAGCTTTTTCAGGGATGCAGCAGCTCTATAGACAGACACTGGGCCTGATCCTTCTATGACTGAAGTCAGTGTCAAAACTCCCACAGAGTTCAGTCAGAGCAGGATGGATTCTAGTCAGTATAGTACCTTAAATTGAGTTTTAAGTGTAAACTAGGGCATAGATATTGAGTTCAAGCAGAGTGTTAATAAAATACTGCTGAAGAACAAACACTGTACATTCAACATAAGAAATATCCTCTAATGGAAATCATATTCGATGGCATGCACACAATGATATACTACAGATCTGTGTGACTGCTGGTTACAGGTACCTTTTAGAGAAAAAGATGTTCAATATTGATGATAGTCCTATGTACTATCAGCATTAGGTGGCTGCTTCCGGTAACTGCAACTGAGAGTTTTATCATTTTTCCCTAAGCAAGTGTAGTTACCTGCTATTATACTGCATACAGTAGAGGGCATATTTCTCATAGTATTATACAGACAGATATTTAGAGAAAATGTACACAAATCATGCTATCAACAGTGTACTCTGTAGTAGTACTGTTAAAGTTTAACACCTGCTAGCATGTAATTATTAAAATATCAGTTTGCTCCTGGCCTGCATTCCAATTATCTTTTACCACACAGTGAATAACTCTATAAAGACAGTATTAGCTGCCACACTTCATTTTGTATATCATGCAGACAGAAACAGGGAATAGCAGAAATCAAACTGTAAAATGTACAATTGAATCTGAGACTAGTTAATTATGAAACACTATTTATTTTAGATCTGAGTGATAGTGAATACCTTATTTTAGGGTTACCATCCGTCCGGGTTTCCCCGGACATGTCCGGCTTTTGGGTCTTTAAATAGCCGTCCGGGGGGAATTTGTAAAAAGCTAAAAATGTCCGGGATTTCCCCCCGGACGGCTATTTAAAGACCCAAAAGGAGGACAGGGCAGCCGCGCTGGGGGAACCGCGGCAAGCCGGCGCCGCCGGCGCCAC